AAGTAAACAATATATATTTATTTAATTATATTTGAAAAATGAAAGATTAGTTTGCAAATTATATTTAATTAAAGAATTTTATATTAATGAAAATATTAAAAGAAAAAAAAGAATTTGTTAACACATTGAAAAATAATATTTCATTTTCATAATTATCAATTAAAAATTATTTATTTCATTTTTTATACAAAAATTAAAACGAAAGGAAATTTTTAAATTAAGTAAACAATATATATTATTTTTTAACGTGTTAGCAAATTCTTATTTTTTTTTAAATATTTTTATTAGCAAATTTCTACCTTACGCGTTGTCCTTCCTCACTAAAGTGACGCAAATCAGTCTCATTTGCGTTTTATTCAACTTAAACAAATAATTCACTTTAATATCAGACGTAACATTCATTTGTTGAATTGAAAATGGCAAATGCTCTTAGAATTGAATTCTTAGTACCATATCTTATCGAGATGAATCAACGTTTAGCTTGTTCTACATATCAAGGTACTCAAAAGTTGTGTTGAAACTCACAAAGAAGATTCGAGAATGTTAAGGGTCAAATAGATATAACTAAAGATAAAAGGGAGTGAAAACAAATCAATTTTCCACCGCACAAGGATGTTCAAATTTTTAGTTGGAGATTGAAATCCATTTTTGGCCTAGTAAACGTTCAAATTCACAGCCGATTAACAGCCAAAAATTCGGCTTCGGCTGTCAACAACTGATTTTTTCGACCGTTAACAGCCGAATTTTCAGCTGTTTGTGCTGATTATTTTTTTCGTAACAGTAGTTTTATTTGTTAATTAAAAGGGTAGTATTTTTTTTTAACACAAACATGTTTTGATATTGTTTTAGTCACTTAAGGGCCTTTTTATCTTTTTACAGCAAATGGATCATTTTGAAAATGTTGTTAAGTAAAAAAGTCAAAATGGAATTATGAGGCTTTAGCTAGGTTATTTTTAAAAGAACCCTTCCAAATTTTGCATACCCCGTCCTCCTGTACCCCAGCCAGCTTTAAGCCATTGTTTCACTTTCATTTTATAAAATTTGTTTTTCTTTAAATTCATTTTTAATCATACATATGATACCTACAATTTTTATTAACTTTTAATCATACATTTTATTACTTTTATCAAAATCTATTAAAATTTTAATTTTTAGCTAAATCAAACAGGCTGAATTTAAAATAGACTGAAAATCGATCCAAAATAATTATGCAAAAACAAATTGGATCGAAAAAATTGATAACTCATGGATTAAGTTCATACCTCCGACCATTGATGATGTTCTCAATCTCATATTTTGTTCGTACTTCTAAGCTCTCAACAGTTTTACATGATATTGTATAATATGTATTTTCGGTGGTGAAACTTAGGGACTAAACCCATCTATATATAGTCAATCCCCCATCATGTTATGACTTCAATTACGAGTTTTGATCGTTCAATTAATGGGTAAGTTTCTGAAAAATCGAAGAACATTGGACCATATCGATGGAAGAAATGGATCAGTTACATTCTCTCACTTGGTCCATACGTTTAACCTAATCTCAACTTAATCCTATCGAACGCCCTTATTAAGAAGTAAACACATGAATTCTGGTGACAAGTCCTCTAATTAAGAGTTTTATCTTCCATGTATAACAATGTATTTAGTTCCTTAAGAATTATTCTTTATGTGGTAGTAATACTTAATGCAAAAGACCCCATATCTTATTCTTGGTTCTACAAAGATGTATTTTCTCAAATAAATTAAGAAGCACATGAATATGAGAAAATATCACAACAAATAAAAGTGCCACACAAAAATTGTATATACCATTACATAGTGGAACTAAGTTCCATTTTCTCTATATGATCCTTGAATTTCAATTGTGGCATGACTTTAGTCAAATGATAAGCGATCATCAATTCAGTGCTTATGTACTCAATGATCACTTTCTTTTCTTTAATATGTTCCCTTAATGTCGATCTGTTTACTTCGACTATCACTTTTGTTGTTCTAAGATAAAATATGAAACTATTGATCCATACACCATGCGAAGTAACCTCGAAACAAGAAACGAACTTGGCTTTCATAGTGGGAGTAGCAATTAAAGTTTGTTTGACACTCCTCTATGATACAGATCCACCAGCTATCATAAAAATATACCCTGATATTGATTTGCGTGAATCAACACAACCAGCTAAGTCTAAATTCGAGTATCCAATCACTTCCAAATTATCCATCCATTTATACATAAGTATGTAATTTTTGGTTTCTTGAAGGTACTTCATTACTTTATTTGTTACTTTCCAATGGTCCACACCTTGATTACTTTAATATCTTCCTAACATTCCCATAAAAAATGCAATGTCAGTCCTTGTGCAAACCTAAGCATACATCAAGCTTCTGTCAATGAAAGCATATGGAATGTTCTTCATTTATTCCCTTTCTAGATCATTTTTCGAGAATTTGTTCAAACCGAACATATTACCCTTTCACAATAGGAGTTACACTTGGTGAACAATCCTTCATCTAGAATCTCTCTAAAATTTTACTGATATAGGTTTTCTGAGACAGACCCAAAACCCTTCATAATCTAACTCTATGAATTTTAATGCCAATGACATAAAATGCATCACCCATATCCTTCATATCAAAATGTTTAAAGAGGAATTGTTTGACCTCATGTAACAAACCTTTATCATTGGTTGCACGTAAAATGTCATCTACGTATGAAACAAGAAAGTAAATCTTACTTCCACTAACGTTCTGGTATAACATTAATTCATAGGATTTTCAACAAATTCAAGTGAAAAAATTCCATTGACAAGAACGCTTGTTTTAGACCGTTGTAGATTTCTTAAGTTTATAGACCAAGTTCTCACCATCATTAGAGGGGCATCCTTTAGATTGTTTCATATAAACCTCATCTCTAAATCTTCATTGAGAAATGCCGTTTTCATATCCATTTGTTGCAACTCAAGGTCAAAATGGGCTACCAATGACAAAATAATACGTATGGAATCCTTCTTAGATGCTGGAGACAAGGCCTCCGTGTAATCGATTCCAAAACACCCTAAATCTAGAAGTATCATTTAATATGATCTTAAAATCATAAATGTGGAAACGACAGATTTTCTATAAGATTTTAAATATAAATGACTTCATTTATGAAAATAATTTGTGTTTAATAAAAATGACACTTAAATTACTTGTTAACTTTATTTACAAAACGAATTTAATATTTAAATGTGATAATACTGAGTCCTTGTTACCACAAGTCGTTATCTCGAATCATCTTGTCTTAATCCTCTGAAAATGGGGAGGGATGACGTGGAAAGAGCTAACGCTCAGTAAGCAAACCTCATGCATTTGATGCATGTTTATGATATGCATATGAATTACTTTATAATAAAAAGCATTTCATGATATGTATCTCACTTCTTTCATTTCTTTAGCGTTAGCATCGTGAGCTTACTTGATGTATCGTCCATAGCCAATCCGAATGCAGTGGGCCATATTATTTGTAATTCGACCGAATCTACTAGTAGTATCGCGAAACGATTAACATTAACATTGAACATTGGTCGGATGCGCCGGTTCCCCACGCCCCATTTCTCACTTACAACTTCATGGCATAAACATACATCTCTTGATAAAATCATTCGGGATACATGTATTTTTAAAATATTCATTTGACTCGTTGACATTTGAAACCTTTCTTAAAACTTCATTTATGCTTATGTATGCATTGACGTGCATGATTATGTCAAGAGAAGCATTAATGACAAAATGTAATAATCAAATATCATATTCACATAAGGGCAATTTAGGTAGCAAAATAACAATTTTGAGTAACACATTTAATGATGTAACGTAAGCATAAAAATAAGGGAATGTTTACTTACCTTAAATCCTTAATAATTTATTTATTCTTTTGACGAGCAAATGAATATGTCTCTAGCTGCTGAGACAACGTGCCAAGAATCCTATATCATTGCCATTTATTTAGGAACTTAAGCATACTCATTATTTATTTATTTCTTAACCACATACATATATCTTAAATGTTATGTCACACTACATTTATATTATGCTATTATATTTTAATTTATGCAATATATAACAACATTAATATGACTAACAATGTTACGTTAATCATGTCTATGAAATAAAAATAAAATTAAGGCACATGCAATTCTAACAATGTAGAAAATTGACAACAAATTCACAAAAAATTTAAGGCAAATAATTAAATAGTAATTTCTAGGTCTAGCAACAGGCAATGAATACCCCTTCACGGTAACCTCAAACCTAACGTCNGGTCTAGCATCAGGCAATGGTTACCCCTTCACGGTAACCCCAAACCTATCGTCACCCCACACTATGACTTCTAATGCGAAAAATAAATTATCTTACACAATAATTTTAACTGCAATAATAAAAGGCAAAGAATACGATACCGAGCGAACCACGTCTGAAGGTCCGTAAATATTGAGAGCTGCGAATTCACCACTTTGGGACTACCGCAATCCACCCCAAAGCTTCCGTCAACACGAAAACGGCACCCGAACGTCCAAGGGAAAAATCGTCCAACTTTCACCGTACTGCCTGAAACTAAAATCCGACAACACCGTATGGTCCGTCTCAATGTCCTGGAAAAACTACCTGAAGACCACCTCACCGGAAGATAGCCCACGAGCCCACACGCGCTAGTGCCGGTCATCACGCACCACTCCCCAACTGCTTCTCAGCCTACTGAGTCTGCAGTGGTGTCCGTTTCTCCAAAAGGTGAGCGGTTTGTCCTGAAATTGAGTTTGCAGGTCCCAAAAAAATTGAAAAACATGGCAGTTATTGGTTATGCCTTTCTGCCGATTTTCTGCTCGATTTTTTGTCAATTTCCAGCCCACTTTTCACCCCAAAATCATAGATTTCTCCTCCCCCAAACTCTGATACCATCTGTTGAAATTTGGGGCTCCAATAACCAATTTTCGGGCTCAGTCTTCAACCAAATCGACACCAACTAGACAGGCTTCGACCTACAACTTTAACACTTGGTTGCCACAAGTTTACATCCCGACAAAGAGGCACTTGGCGATGGTATTTCCAGCCCACTCAAGAGGAGAAGGAGAAGAGAATAATTTGTTGAAACTCATCAAGAAAATCACCCAAAACCCGACTGCCGCACTTTCTCACGACTGCCCATCTTTTCACTTCTCATGCAAAATACACACACAAAAAACGGCTAGAATGGTGTGGATATATACATCATTGTTAGGTCACTTATATGGGCCTAAGTTCACTTAATGGGCTGCCTATATATTTCCATAACTAACCAACAATAAATGGGTTGACACATATCACCATCCAACCTAATAACTTGGATCATTCACTAGTGTTGGGCTACGAGAAACATCAATTAAGTTGCTTCTAGTGGTCCCAAGTTGTTTTCAATTCGAGCCATCACTAAGGTCGATATAATTTATCCAACATCGATTTTACATCATCGCACAGATTTATTGGGTATAAAAAAATCCAACAGAAAGCATTCGTTACACTTATAAGGATGCCAAATGGTGCTCAATAAAAGTTTGACATTACCAAAATCATACAAAATCCACAATCAGTTTTGGTGAAGCGGTTTAAAGTTCACAAAAACAATTCCTCACAATAGTATTGCAAGTCATGGGCGGACCCAAGGGGGGTCCTGGGGGGCAGGTGCCCCCCCAACTTTTGTGATTTTTTTTTTTTTTAAATCACGTTTGTTACCGATGGAAATTTAAATTTTAATCTAAATCAAAGTTAACAATAAATTTTAATAACATATCTTCATGAAATTCATAACTATTTAATTTGTACCAAAATTTACTAAAAATTTGATTTTAATCTCCACCAAACAGGGGTAAAATAAAAGTAAATTTGAATTTCGAAATATACAATTTTAAAAATTATCCGACGATCGTACGCTAATCGAATCTATAAATTGTTTGTATCATTTCTTACCTTATTCAAGAGTTACATTATGAACATATCGAATAGTTCAAACATATATCGAAAATAGTTAAAAATACGTTAAACGTAAACCTTTAAAAAGACGTCTAACTTGTATTTTTTAAAAAAAAATTATTATTTCATTAACATTTATTATTTTTGCGATACAAATTTCTCAATATAATTTTCGATCATTTTATTAGGAAATTTTCAAAAAATTTCGAAATTTTACATCCGAAAAAGTCATATCCCATGTAAATTTTTGGATGTAAAATTACATTGAATATGATTTTTTTTGGACGTAAATTTTCGATTGTAAAATTTCTGTCAAGTTCGATTGTGTCCCACAACATTAAAGTTCTGGGTCCGTCCCTGCTGCAAGTCAACACAAATTTGTTTTTAGAGTCAAGGTCTTAATCATATATACTGGATAAGTATGCGAGCGCTCCACTTTGTGCTAAGACGCTCACCTATTTACAATGCACATCATCATTAGTTGGTGTTTTCCTTTGTAGAAAATTTGCTAACTCCTTGACAAGTTCTTCGTATAGTGGCTTCCCTGAACTCCATAATTTATCGTTTTTCTCTGTATCAACTATAAACTCATGTCAAGCCAACTTCTTTCATCGTTAACTAGTGTTTGCTAAGTTACTATTCAAAAAAATAATAATAATAAATACTATTCATGACACATGGCTCCGCCAATGTTCATAACCTCGTGACACGTAATTATCAAAGTTTCATTCCCACTTAAAGATAGGAAATGCAAAAAAAGAAAGTCCCTGCGGCCACCGAGGCGGTGGTGCGTGACGAATCGTACGACGGCTTTATGAAAATGTGGGCTGGGGGTGCTGAATCATACAGCTCTTACTCTGATCCAACGGCAGTATTTGCAGCGGCAGTGTTTGCAGGTGGGTTACTTCCTAGCAAATCCTATATTTTTAGATCTTGGTATTGAATTTCTACCCCAACAAATTAAATATTCCTCCTACTTTTCAATCCCCAATCACATCATCTTTATCTCCCTGAAAACACTCACCCTTCCCCATGCAAATTGCAATGAATTCACATTTTTCTATAGGTGGAGAATCAAACAAATATGAATTAGCTTCCCCACTTGTCCTATATGGATGCTAACGTGTTCTCTCTCTGAAGTCTGAAATTAATGAGCTGGACTTAGGGCATGTTAGAGGCCATTTTTTTTCTATTTAAAATGAATTTTGAAATAATAGGTTAATGGAGAAGTATGATTCAAAATAAAAGATAAGTTTTTGAATTGTGTATAATATTATTTTATTAAAAAATGTGTAATTAAAAAAAAAAAAAGAAAAATATATTTTTTTAAAAATGAGGATCAAATAAGGTCTTAACAAATTCTTGTTAAATTAAAAAAATTCATCCATAGCTCAACACATTTGATTTTTATTATTGACTATTAACTATAAGGGGGATGCTACGGCCTACGTGTATACAATGGTGTACACATGTTTTACACCCCCCTCACATGGAGGGGGCTCATACACAATAAAATATTCGTGAGTCCCTCTCCATGTGAGAGGGGTGTAAAGCTGTGTGTATACTATGAGGTGTACACATAGCATTTTTCTAACTATAATACAAACCAAGAAATTGGATCAAGATTTGAATTCATATATTTGATTGATTCATCTAAAATAGCATGGTTTATTATTTGGGATGCGACATTCCTCTTTTCTACTTTTATGATTTTGGATTATTTAACAGTCTTAACCTACTCGTGTTGCTATTTTCAATTTTTGTACACACAATACAATCATTTTAACACATCTAATGAGAATAAAAAATAAATTCTAAAATGAAGTGTAGCTAGTAGTCTCCTTTTGATTCCCAATTTCTTTCCTCATTATAATGAGAAATACGATCGTTGAAGTTACTTTTTTGAATTGCAACGATCATATTTCTCATTATAATGAGAAAAAATGGGAATCAAACACAAGTCTAAAATCGTGGTTCAAGATTAAGCCATTGTTTGATAATCATTATTTGGTCAAAACAATGTTGAATAGTGATTTTTAGGAGAATGTGTGATTAAAAGTAGAGAAATTTTTTGAATTTACATGTAAAATATTTTATTGTGTGAAAATATGATTAAAAAGGAGTATATAACAAAAGTGTTTAAAAATAATAAGGGTCCGTTTGATTGCAAGGGTGGAAAGAAAATGAATTATGAAGAAAATAATTGATTAGAACTTGTTTTTTAGGGGATTGTTAATTAAGTGTGTTTGATTTGTTTAATTTTCCACTCGAAAAATTTTAAAATTTTGGATATTTTTGTATTCGTTTGACTTTATTTTATATGAAAATTGTCTACTAAAGTGATAATTTTTTTCACAATTGGTTAAAAAAATTTGTTTCCATTACCAAAAACTAAAAAATATATATATATATTTCCAAGAAAATCATTTTTCATCAAAATTTAGTATTCGTTTGTCNAAAAAAAAACTGGAATTCCATTTTCGCACCAAAGTAATTCCACAATTTCCATGAAAATGTGTACGTGTGGAGTAAAGTAAGGGAAAAAAATTTCATGACAAAAAAAGACTATCAAACAAGTCAAAACATAGAAAAATGGAAATTATTTTCCATGGAAAACTATGTCTATCAAACATAGCCTAATTATCAAACCGAAGGTAACGAAGAACTGAATTTAAAGTGCACCCATGTCCCATGGTGGGCCGGTCTTAAGTAGGTGGAGACTTGTTTGCTCCTCGAGGGAAAAAAAAAGCATTAAAGGTCCGTTTGATTGTAAATGTGGAAAATTAGTAGAAAGAAAATGTTTTATAGGAAATTGAATTGTCTAAAAATTATTTTATTGTGAATTATAATTAATTGTGTTTGATTTGTATAATTTTTCACCTAAAAAATATTGAAAGTTTGGTGTCCGTTTGATTTCCTTTTTTTATGGAAATTATCCATTAAAGTAATAATTTTTCCCACCATTAAGTCTAGAATTTGTTCCAGTTGCAAGAAAAAAAAAATTGAAAAAAAATTACTATACCGAATACAATTCGTTTGACTTTGTTTTGTATGAAAATTGTCAATAAAAGTGATTTTTCTTTTTACCATTGTGTTTAGAATTTTTTCTAATTGTTAAAAAAAAAAAGGGGAAAATGGTGGGAATTAGTTTTCCACAAAATCAAAGAAATTATAAGTATGTGAGGTAAAGTAAGAAAATTAATTTTAGGGAAAACTTTACCTATCAAACAAGGTAAAAGATGAAAAATGAAAAATGAGTTCCATTTTCCATAAAAATATATGCCATCAAACATAACCTAATTTGAATGTAGCAAGCGCGTTTTAAAGTAAAACTTTACTCTTATTTGATTTAAATAAAAAAAGAAAAATCAGATTTTGATTGAATTTAATAAAAATTGAAGAACCGTGTGATTAAAACTTTAATAAAAATTATAAGTCCTATAAAGTGTGTGATTAAGAATAAATTTTAGGAAAAACAATTTTTTAAAAATAAGGGCCAAACATCGACTTTATTAAGCCCCTACACTTTGAAAATATGTTGTTGGAAATGAATATGAAAATTAAAGAATTTTGAAATAATGGTTGTCAAACTGGAGTTAGCCCCCATTTGACCCCACTATTTGTTATTTTAATGGTTGTAAATTGTAATAGTGTGTTTTTTTATTAAAAAAAATATGTCATTAAGAAAGAAGAAAATGTTTTGTGATTTCGTGTAATATGATTTTATGAAGAATGTGTGATTGATTAGAAAATAAATAAAAAAAATTATAATTTAGTTGGGACCAAACATATGCTTCAGAATGTGGAAGTATTATTATAATTTGCATCATAGTCCTTGTGGACAGACATTTGAAGGTAACCTTCATACACAGTCTAAGCACCTGTCCTGCTCGAGTTTATCACGATCATTAAACAATCCTCGTCGAATTTTATGATTTTAAGTGAGCACTGTGCTTCCGAAAAAATCGCCTGTATATGTAATCTCTAAATGCTCCAGATCATGAGCACGTAGTGTGATACTGAATCACTTGCCTAGAAGTTATATAAATAGGTGAAGTAATACTACATACTTAAATAACATAGGTACGTCAGTCATCGTATAACTTAAAATCTTATTTGATCTTCATTGTTTTTCTTTTAATCACAAATTTTTCAATAAAATAATATTACATAAAACTCAAAAACTTTTTCTTTATTACATTTTCTCTATCAATTTACTATTTCAAAATGCATTCTAAAAAAAAAAGGGGTTGAAACTGGCCCGAAGTACTTCTGAACGTTATTGAGCTGGAAATCGCAACAATAACAGGAGATTTGGTATGCCAAAGCATCTCCCAGTACAAGCAACCAAGAAAGCTTGGTAATAGGTGGATATCTTGAACGCAGGACCCAATGCATGAAATCACTGACAAAATTTTGGCTCCAATGTCAGATTTCTGGACAATAAATGACGGCACGTGTCGATCACGCTCCGGGAAAGGGAGAGAGAGTCGTGAAGGGGTATTGGGAGACTAAAATGCTCGAAGGGGAAGGGTCAGAATGCAATAATGAAAAGGATAGTATTGTTCTGACGTTTTTAATGTCTAAAAGCAACCATACTTTGATACGCTATCTTCTGTTTGATTAACATTTTCCCTTTTAACCTTTTCTTGATTCTTGATTTCTTCCTCTTCTTCTGCTTCACTTTTCTGCACTTTCTTCAAGTTGTGTACTTTTACAAAGATTCACACAATTTCACACGTACACAAACACACATTATGTATTAGAGTTAAAATGTAAGCTCTTCCACAGGCTATCCCTCACAAACTTTGATATGTATTGCCACTCACCCTTTTACCTGAGGTACTCGATATTCTTGTTTCTTGGTCTTTCTTTACTGTGTGTGCTTGTATTTGTGAAAGGGGGCTTTTTTTATCTACCTGTGTTTTCTTTTTTTGTGTATGTAGAAGTGATGAAAGTGGTAGAAACGGTACCCGTTTTACGGATCTTGGAGAGCTTGAACAGTCAGCTGGAGCCGGATTTCCTCATGAGGGTGCTGTTGATTTAAGCAGAAGTATGCTCTCTCTCTTACACACAAATGCACGCACACACTATTTAATAAATGCCTTTTTTTAATCTTTTTAATGATAGGTTCAATGTACAATGAGATGAAGGCAAGCAATGTTTCTGTTGTGACTAATAATTTGCAGTTTGGTGGACTCAACAATGTAAATATCTTACTTTCTTTTTATCGTATATACATACAAATCAACGACAATGTATAATTGATTGGGGTTCGCTGGTGTTTTCCAGAACATTGGTTCAGCAGACATGGGGTCATCAGTAGCAGGGGTGGATACAGGACACTTCATCTTACAGAAGGGGACAATGGTGGGGGTTGTTGGTGGTGGAGGCGGCGGCGATGGTGGTGGTGTGGCTTTGGGAAATGGACATTTTGATAACTGGGTTGATTCTGGTGTGGTGGCAGATCACAGCCAGCAGACTGACACTTCCACAGATACTGATGACAAAAACCAGGTACCGTATTTTCCTCATTTTCCCTTGATTCTTTGCACTAGTTGTTGTCTTCTTCATGATAATTTGTTCCTTTTGGTTCCCAAGTTTTCAATATAATAATTTTTGAAATTTGTGGGGGTTCTAATGGTCCCTTTCATAAATAAGAATGTAATGTATACCTTAAAATCAGGAGTTGACTTTGTGGTTTTGATTTTCTTTCATTTGATAATTTTTTTTGCTGTATGAAGTTTTAGGGCTTGATATAGATTGTAAGATCTGGTAGTCTTGTACTTTTAAGTTGTCCAAAACTTGATACGAGCAGCGAAGCTACAAAGAATGGAGAAAACGAATATATATGCTAATAAATGATTTTTGAAAAGAATGGAGCAAGCATGATAACAGATTTTAATATTTCTAAGATACAACGACTTATCCCAAGGTAAATACAACCCAATGTTGAACCAGAACACTCTTCTCGAACAGAATGACTAAGAACTCATGAACATTTGGGGGGAAAACAAATATACATGAACATTAAGAACAGAAGTTCTGCAGTGAAGCAAAGGAGATAAATCAACATGAATTGATTTGAGATGTGCCAAAATTAATGCCAAGAGGGCCTATTTATGCTCATGTTGAGGGCTCTACGGAAAGGCACAACTTTTGGCATGGTCTAATCTGAATCACCAGATACTGTTACTTTAGAATGGTCTCGATTGTACTCTTTTAACTGTGGTCCACAACTATTTTGTGCCGCTTCTCTTTGAATCAGTCAAATCCAGTCAATGCATTGACCAATCAAACCTTTTTGAGTTGATTATTCTTTGCCTTCTAGAATCTATGCAATGGCAGTTAGAAACAAGAGCATTTCTTCTTTGTTCCATTTCTATGAAACTTTGTAAGATGTGGTGTTGGATATATTCCATGTGCAAACATATTTTACAGAATTTTCCTTCGTTGTCTGACTAAATGGCTTAGTTATTAACTTGTCACATCAGATCCTGACTTTTCCTAAGTTCCAAATGGTTGACGTTCCTAAATTTGATTTGCATGCTGATCTTTAGTTCCAAAGAGGTCAACATGGAAAGTTGGTTGTTGTGGATTCAATAGACCAGTTCAAGGGAAATGCTGGAGACCAAAAGGTTGTAGCTTTACTCTACTGTAATGTTATTACAGGATTTGACCAGGCGCATGGAAGGGATTTTCATTAGTTTGTGTTATCTTCATTGCAGGCATTACGTAGACTGGCTCAGAATCGAGAAGCTGCAAGAAAGAGCCGATTGAGAAAAAAAGTAAAATTGCATCTCTAAAAATTTGATTTAAATCTTTATTGCCAAGTTGTCATGACCTTAAGGATAATTGGGTAATGGCTCAATTACGTGTTTTCTGCACTGATTAATATGTTTTGGCTCAATGTTACCTTCATCTAATAGTGGTCTCTACAAAAATGATCTTATATTTTAAAGATCTGTATCTATTAGTAAGTCTGGCTAAGCCTAAAAATTTTAAGTATCTACTTTTACTATACACATTTGAGCTCTTCTAAAAGTTTTTTTTTTTTTTTGGAGATTTTAAGTCCACGAGTTTTTTCTTTATTAGCAAGTCTTTACGGTGTATAAGCATGTTTGGCAAACAAAGATGCTATAGCTTATAAGCAGGGCACTCACAAATTATGTAGTTCAAAATTCACACAGCTCTGGATCCTGCAGTTCGTAAGCTTGATAAATTGGGAATCCCCTCCCATGTGGAAGCTTGTTGTGTGGATTTTGGACTCCAAAATTTGTGGATCCCTTACTTATAATAAGCTAGCACCTTTTTTTGGCCAAATACACTATCAGTTTATTTATCGGTTTTGGTTTTGGTTAGGCATATGTTCAACAGCTTGAGAGCAGTCGGGTAAGGCTTTCACAACTAGAGCAGGAGCTTAAAAGAGCACGTCATCAGGTGCTGTCTCTATAAATTGTATTCCAAAATTTTGAATGGTTTTCGAGCCTTTACTTTACTCTTTTACTGGAATGCAGGGTATTTGCATTGCATCTGGATTGTCAGGAGATCAGTCTGTGAGTGGAAATGGTTAGTTAATTATCTTATCTATAAATGGCAAATATGTAACTTGGACAAAACCAGAATCGTTTCTGATTAACTAAGATTTTTTCGCCGTTATTGCAGGGGCTTTAGCATTTGACGTAGATTATGCACGCTGGCTTGATGAACATCAACAACTGATCAATGATCTGAGATCCGCTGTGAACGCTCACGTGGGTGATAGTGAGCTTCGCCTTCTTGTTGATGGGGTGATGTCTCATTATGATGAAATATTCAGGCTGAAGAGCACAGGTGCAAAGTCAAATATATTTCACATGCTATCCGGCATGTGGAAAACTCCTGCAGAAAGGTGTTTTATGTGGTTGGGAGGATTTCGTTCATCGGAGCTTCTCAAGGTCATTCAATTATTTTAGACATCTCTCTTTTGTACAGTACAAGAACATAATTACTTCGTTTCATCATTTTCCTGAACATTCATTCCGTTTTGAATTTCAGATACTCGGCAACCAAGTTGAACCTCTGACTGAACAACAATTGATGGGACTATGTAATTTACAGCAGTCCTCTCAACAAGCCGAGGATGCCTTGTCCCAAGGAATGGAAGCATTGCAACAATCACTTGTAGAGACACTTTCCACTAACTCTTCTGGTCCTAGTGGTTCTAGAAATGTGGCCGACTACATGGGGCAAATGGCTATTGCCATGGGCAAGCTCGCCACGCTCGAGAATTTCCTTCATCAGGTATTACCATGAACTTAAAAAGAATTTGTCAAGACTGGGTAACTTCTAGTTATACTGGACAATTATTATCCAGACAGCGGATCAAATATTGGTATTCTGTAGATATATTGTGCCCAATTTTCCAAATTATATATAGGATTTCAAGAGCCCAGTTTTTGGGGCCGGAAAGAGACATGGGATTCCCTTTTACTTCACTATAAAAGGGGTGAAAACTGGAAACCTGCAGTAATAAAGTGAACATAGCTCTCAAATTGTGGGTGCACCATTATAAATGTGTGTAGCTCTCACAAGTGGGGTTTCAATAATATAGTAAATATAAATAAAAACCTCATCCCCGTTCCTTCCCCCTCCCCAAAATTTGTTGCTCATACAGTAAATTCCATTCAAAATTGTGTGCCTGTTTTGTTTCGAATGAATATTAAACTGTGTTTTGCTCTTGATAGGCTGACCTTCTGAGACAGCAAACTTTGCAACAAATGCATCGAATCTTGACAACCCGACAAGCTGCTCGAGCTCTTCTTGCCATCAATGATTACAAGTCGAGGCTTCGGGCTCTCAGTTCTTTATGGTTGGCACGCCCTAAGGATTGACTTCTCTTATCTTTTTAGGATGATTACATTAATCTTTCAGAACTTTGCTAGCTGACCATTCCCATATAACCTTTGATTGCTTTCCAATAGTAATTTGCTGGTGGGTTAGTGTAAGTATGCTATTTTCTTAGTTCAATATAGTAGTAGACACTGGATTTGCGGAACTTGCTGCTGTATCTTAAGATATGCCTGTTGACTATCGAGTGATTTCGTATGGATTACTAAGAGTAGCTGTTTTTGTATTAACCATCAAAGAATATGTTTCAGTCATTAAAAATATTTGTATGTTGACTCTTTTACCTTCATATCATTTGAAACTCTCGGTGAAATGAATGGAAAACTTGCATTATTGATGTGCATTTGCGTTACTATGAAAATTAGAAAATTCATCGATAATCAACATTTGTTATGTTCTCTCACTCTCTCTAAAATCTCTTCTAATTGGAAAAACTGCTTTTAAATAAAACCAGAGTTCTGTCAAGGGAGCTAAAAATTATCTTATATACTAGTGGAATGCACGTGTTTTACTTTAGTTGACTATTTAATAGGGTTGAGTGATTTTGAGTCGTCGGACACAAACTTTGGACGAAATATTTGTCTGAAGTATAAGTAAGGTAATGTCGTTATTCGAAATATTTAATTGCAGGCTAGCCAAGTTTTTCTCTAGGAAACTGAGAATGCAAGTTATAGAATATACAAACGGTCGCCAGCAAGAAATCATATTTTTTACCTTTGAAGCAGTCAAATTGGCTTCAGGGTATTATAATATTAAAAAAAATCGAATTGCCAACAAAAAAAATTCGAAGCGGCTAAATTAACGTTAACAATGACTAAAAATCACTCTACGTGGCCAGATCATTTATAATGTACAGGTGTCTCCATCTTAGATGGAGGTGTCTCATGAAAGCAGAAAAAAATTGTGCACGGAATTACACGGGGGTGTCTCGGTGCACAAGGCACACGGGTGCGCGCGCGGAGGCACCTCCATCCGAGCCTCCATGCAAGCCTCCATGCAAGTTTGGACGGAGGCATTACTCCTTGCTTCCATCCATGGAGGCAAGGAGAAATGCCTCCATCCATTTATGAAAACCATGCATGTGTCAAACCTTTGATCAAAAAATGAATATTGTTTGCACGTAACAGTGAGTATTGCAGTTAGATAGGGTGGTTCAACAAATGAAGGGAGAAAAACATAAATATAAAGGGTAATCAGATAAGCACTTATTCCTCTGAATTTTCCTCAAAGTCAGTGATCAACAGTCAAGATAGAGATACCACAATCTTGAGCATCTAAAATGCAGCGGGAATCGCCAACTGAAGCAATAGTCACGGTCCATCCATCAACTACTACAAATGTTGCTGGGTTCCTGGAGTTTTTCCTGGCAAGAATAAGATGAAGAGAGAAACAATAAGCTCTTGAGCCACATAAAAAACGAAATGTATTAAATTGGAAAGAAGACTCAATTCTGGATGTCATGCCTTTACTCTGAAACTTCTTATCAGTTTGAAAAAATCCAGCAACCAAGGCTCAAGGTAAAGCTTGAAGCCAATTGTCTTGCCCAAGCCCACGAGGAACAGCACCCAAAATATAATTTAGAAGTGAATAATTTAAGCACAATGACACATTGGAAATTAAACATCAAACTAAGGAAAATCCAGTCAATCATAAATACTACAAGAAAGGGCATACCTGATGAACCAGATGAAAAGTGGGTGTTAAGAAAATAATCAAATTTTTTTCATCCTTATTATTCTTTCAAGTTTTCCCAATTTCTTTGATCATCATAGTTTGTATCGTGGTTTTCCCAGCTCAATTCTCCAAAACTGCTATTGTATTCCTCCTCATTGCCACTTCATACAATTCCTCTCATACTTGACATGCATGCACCCAAACAAATAAAAATCATAAAAACGCCACCCAAACAACTGTTGCACACCCAATCATCTTCCCCACAAAAGAACTGATCTGTAAAGAATATACAATTACCTTTACACCCATTATCCCCAAACGTCTCCGAAGCAGAACCTGAAAATTTCTGCTTCTGTCCCGATTCTAAAACAGATTCTAAAAGAAGTAAATTTCTGCTTCTGTCCAGATGAAGAACTATGACCCTAGATAATATCAAAAGATGCTCAAAGTAGAAATTCATGGTATCCAATTAATTCAAATTTTTCTCACCAATAGAAGAAGGGCTGACCAGCATTAGTCTTCATAATAAAGATGCAAGTTGTGCCCCCTCGAATGAATCTAGATTGAAAGCACACAAATGAAATCCAACTACACAAAATTCTCATAATCAGAGAGTCATTATCAAATAAAGCAGATAGTATCCCATATCAATAGAACATAGCTTGCAATTAAAAATTGGTAATTTAAACTCGGGCTCAGAAGAGAGTAACTCACAGCTTCAATCCAATGTTGAAAAGCCAACTTTTGTTCCTCGGCATCTTTAGACAAACCCTTGCCCACCTGGTCACATAATAACATTACGAGATAGACATTTTAGACTCTAAATAATCTAGCACGGGCCTCCAGCCGTGTCTCCATGCCAGCTGGATGTGCCTCCATCCACGTGCATGGAGGCACGCTGTCGCTGCTTTCGTGCACGTTGACAGAGGCACGACGTGCCTCCATTCTCGTGCACCTTTCGGCAATTCTAACATGGCAAAACAATAAATTTACCCAAAGAAAACATTTCATCGTCTTTTGAAAATATCCCAAGAAACAGATGGTGTACAAAGGATTAATAGTATCTTATAGTAAACCATACCTTTGAAAGAAGAACCTTCAAGATATTGCTGCAAGAAAAACAAATTGTGAAACTAATGGAGGCAAGAACAGATTCATTATATTAAATTTCATACTTGAGCAGTCTGATAATAGATAACTATCCTATCTGCGTGTATGTGTGTAGATGGTGGGGGTGTTCGGGGACAAAAATCTGTAGCATAAAACGAGGTTTAAGT